CCCATACCAGGGCCAGGACACACCATGTACAGCAAGACCCCATGTCTCATCTTCCATACATGCACTAGCCACCTAGCACTGAGAGCCAGCGTCCATGGAAGACCTCCTGGAGCAGTGATAAACCAATGCAAAATATGCAGCGCCTAACACCATGGGGCTTAGCCGTAAACTTGCTCAGTAATGGACACCCCTGCTGCTGCACGAGCTACCCAGAGACACCAACACCTTAAAAAAACAACCAACCTACCCTTTAATTGGTCTGCGAGATCAGAGGGCAAGTGGCCCCAGGAGACCTGATACTGTCATGACATACCAAGGTTGTGTGCCCCCCACCCCCTGGCAGGGGCACAAGGAACCATTTCAAGTATCAAGGAGACATCCAGAGAGGGTCTGGGGGTGACGCCAAGCAGGTGGGAGGTGACAGCAGGGCACGGTACAAGACCACCCTCTGCCCCAATAGGAGACACCCCCCCGCTGGGCAGAACAGACAGGATTCAAGGTGCTGCACCAAAGTCTGCTTTGCGCAGTGCCAGGAAGCCATCATTTGCTTTAAATGATCAGGCCCCTTGAGACTAAGATGCTGCAGAGTCATTAGCTCCTCCAAGAGCTGCAGCTGGTGGTGGGGAAGGCAGCTTGTGATCCCAATAGTTCTGGCAGGGTGAAAGGCAAAAAGGGCACAGGTGCACAGATCCATCACAGGCTCCACCTTGTCCCCAGCTGCCTTCAGATGCCAGCAGGGTCCAGGGCGGGGGCCGCGGCCATACCCCACCAGCTCAGCAGACTGAGACTTTGCCTTTCTTAACTGGTCCCAGGGTTGTTAGTGGTTTATCCTTGTAGAAGAAGCTAATGACACGTTCTCCAGCCCTAAGCAGACAGCTCCAGCCCTGCCCAGGGGTACTGGAAGCCACAAGTGGAGTAATTGAAGCTGGAAGCACCTAGGAACTGATCCCCCACGTGGGGGCAAACACTGAGTGAGATGCTGGGGATACTGGCTTGGAGGTGCCAGGCATTGCCCCCGAGTTCCCAGGGCAGATCCAGCTGGTCCCCAGCCACAGGAACTCTGCAGGGGGCTGCTTTCAAGGGAGAATGAAGTGGGGTACAGAGGAATGATTGTTGCTCAAGGCATCTGAGAGCTCAGTTAAACATGGGGCATTCAGGTACAGGGGTCGCCTGTATGAGTATTGCACTGTTGCCCGGGAGGCATCCCGCCCGTGGAGAGGGAGAGGTCTGCACGTGGGGCCTGTGGTCAGTTGATGGGCTCGTACTCCGAGTAGCGCTTCTTCTGGAAAAGCAGTACCACGATGGCCCCTGCCACCAGCAGCACCACTGGGGTGCCCAGCGCCACTGCCATGATGGCCACCACAAGTGGGGAGAAGGCATCCTCAGGGGGCGTGCCGAAGCCCAGCAGCATTGACCTGGCAGGGGGGCAGAACATGCCTCATCAGCAATGAAGGCAGACAAGCTGTGTGATAACCTTCCTTGGGCTGTGTAGGAGGAAGGCTTCAGGCCCCTTGCCATCAGGGCACTGGCCTGGGTTCAAACCCTGCTGGCTAGAAGCAGATCATATTCTGCCTCTGCATGCCTCAGTTTCCTCAAGGGGGAGCATTAAGCAGTGCATGATGGACAATACAGGCAGGGGGCAAGGGCAGCAAGGAAAGTCCCCAGCATCTCCACCCTGCAGCCAGGCACCATGACAGCATCAGGGAAACAGGGGGTGGAAGGTGTTACTCACCAACTAAGATAGCCAGTGCCCGCATAGATCTCACCATCCTCACCCCCAAAGGAGATGTTGATGGCGGCCAGGCCACCCAAGTCCTTTCCAAAGTAGGCATGTGCAATGCTGGGCCCTGGCAGAGTCCCATTGACTGCCCGCAGTGGGGAGTAGCGGCACCGGATCCCGTTCTCCCGCTTGGCCTCACGGGCCCCATATGCTGTCGTCTTCCATTGCAGGAAGCCGGGGCCGGCGTGGGTGCCCTGCGGCTCTGACACCAGCTGCACCATCTGTAGAAGGGGTATGCATCAGGGAAGGGGAGAGGGGGAGTCAGGATGCCTGGGTTCTGGAAACTGTGCTTAGCTGGTGAAGGCAGAGCAAAACCCTGGATGCCCAGGATCCTCTCCCCAGCAATGGCCTGGGACTTTCTATGCCTAGATCCAACCCACCACCCATCCAGGCATGAGCATGAAGGCTGGCATTAAAGCCACAAGCCCCACAACACACAGGGGTACCCACTTGCCAAATAAATCCCCAAGAGGAGTTCTTTGCTAACCCCAACACTTGGTATCTAGCTCTGAACCCAGCGGGAGAGTTCCTGGAGCTGCTAACCCAGAAATCGGCCACAATTGCCCCTTGCCCCCGCAAGCCATGTGGGTCCTCAATCAGCTGGGACTGCCCTGGGATACCCCCTCAAACCCCAGAGCCGTCAGCTTGACCTGGGAGGAGGAATTTGGCTCGCTGGCAGCAGTAATAGACTGGTACCTTGGCGACATTCCCCCTCAACTCTCACCTCGAAGATGGTGGGCGTGTACTCGTCATCAATGGAGCGCACGGACTCCAGGCGCCGGTGCCTGCCAGGCCCCTCCACCATCACCATCTCCAGCATGAAGCGGGAGCTGTTGCCACGGGGGGCCACCCCATCCATCACGAACTCCAGCTTGGAGCTGTTGGCCGTGTGCAGCAGCCCCGGCAGACGCCCGTCCCGGCTGCTCTCCTCATACGCCGTCACCTGGAGGGGGGTGGGAGTCACACAATGGCTAGGGGGACCTCAGAGGCTTCAGAGCCACCCCTGGCTCCGTCAGGCAGATCCCTGCCTTGCTCTGTCCGCACCTCCCCACTGCCATCCCTAAGGCTACTTCCTTTGTAAGTTATTTTGGAGGGCGACTGCATAGGGCTGAGGCCAGATCCCTAGATCCCAGTAGCAACAGAGAAGGGGAAGTTTGTAACAAAAGTTTGGGACTCATTGCCACCACATACAGCAGAAGCCGAGATTCACAAAGGGACTGGACACGTCCTTGGAGGAAAGGGGCATCAGTAGCTATTGATCAGGGAAGCAAGGGGCACAGCCTCTGCATCTAGACCTAAGTAGAATAGGGAAAAACCCTGGTGACCCCCTAACTCGGCCTCCGCTCTCTGCTGTGATGTGACACTGGGGGTGATGGACCCTGGGTCTGACCCAGTCAAAGGCAGCTCTCATGTTCTTGCAGTGGGACAGGCCCTTACCTGGAACGCGATGCTGCCGTTGTGGAAGGTCCCGGGGGGGCCTGTGCCTCGGAAGACAGCTGTCAGGGCCGTGCGGTTCAGGGTCTGGTTCACGCTGTCCCAGGACAAGGTGGCCAGGTCGTAGGGCCGATAGAAAAGTGCGTGGGCTGGGTCTGACGCATTGGCCCCATCGTACTCAAATAGCTGGGGCCATGTGAGAGATGAGGCTGGGTTAGCTGGGGACCACTCCCGTCCTCTCCCCCCCTGCACCCCGCAGAGCTCCCAGCCCACCAGCCCCCAACCAGGGGCAGGGGCGGCAAGGGGCAGCCACAGGCTGGGGTGCAGGGGTGCGCTACAACTCAGTCCCCCACCTTGGTGAAGACCACGGCGCTGGAATGGAGGACGCTGCTGGGCGGCTCCACCCAGATGGCCCCAGCGAGTTCAGGGGAGAGAAGCTGGGTCCAGTTGATGTGCAGGGTGCTGTGCTCGTTCTCTGTGTACAGCAGCAGCACAGCAGGCACCCCTAGGCTGCTCCACACGTAGTGCAGCGTGCTGTTGGCACCCACAGCTCGCACATGCAGCAGGTTTACGGAGGAGTCATTCCAGCCGGGGTTGAAGTGCATGGACACCTGAGAGGAAGGCAAAGGGGCAGCATGACTGGCAGGGCCAAGGCCAGATCCCTTCAGTGCAGTCCCCAGCCTGGGCAGCGTTTTGCAGAACCTGCCTCGGAGCTGGAGGGGGCTCACAGTCTGGGCACAGACCCGGGGGCTGCCTCTACCCCTGGCAGTGAATTAGCTCCCTGCCAGCCCCTCTTGCAGGCTGGGGACAAGCCCCCAGCAGCTCCCAGTTCCCCCGCAGGCCCAGCCTGCTTCACAACCACAGGCACTTCCTTCCGCCCCAATCCAGAGGCCTCAGCTCCCCTCCTGGCGCTGCAGGGACTGGTGCTTCCCTTTCTGCCCAAGTCGAAGCCAGGCACCCAGCCAAGGCCCCACTGCAAGACAGCACCAGCCCCAGCACGAGGTGCCCACCCGCCCTGGCCTAGGGTATGGCCAGCTCCAGCACCACACCCAGCCCCCTCCACAGTGGCAAAGGCAAGACCCCAGGCAGCACTCCCTGTCCTGCTACATGCTGTGGCAGGGCTGGGCTGGCACCGCAAAGCTGACACAGCCCTGAGACCCCAGCCCCAC